CTCTGAGGAAGGCAAGTCTATTCATAAATCCCATATTAATGCTGTTTTGAACTGTTTAGATATATGGATCTTGGATTCAGGAGCAACTGATCACATCACATGCTCTCTGGAATATTTTGAGAGCTGCCATAAAACTCTTGACATATTTGTCAAGTTACCAAATGGAGAAGATGTACAGGTTTCACATGTGGGGGAAGTCAAGTTGTCTCCTAACTTGATGCTGAAAAATGTTCTCTACATTCCCTCTTTTACTTTCAACATAATTTCTGCCACCAAGTTGACAAAACAAAATGAATGCACTCTTGTCATGAATGCTAACACTTGTGATATCCAGGGAATACATGGGATAATGGATGGTTTTGCTAGGACCAGGGGAGGACTTTACTTGCTTGAACATCCTCCTGCCAAGATAAAACAGCATGGTAGCTCTGGAAAACAATGTAATAGTCTTACTTTGCAAATGTGGCATAATAGGTTGGGACACTACCCCATTAATAAGATTCAGAACCTCAGTGGTATTGAATTTGTGCAATCTCATAAATACACTGATTTTGTCTGTGATATATGTCATCTTGCCAAACAAAAGAGGTCAGTTTTTCCTGTTAGCAATACAAGAGCTGAAAGATGTTTTGATCTTATTCATTTAGATGTATGGGGCCCTTTTGCTGCTGCATCTTTCAACAAAGAGCATTATTTCTTAACCATTGTTGATGATCATAGTAGATTCACTTGGATACACTTGATGAAAAACAAGTCAGAGGTTAAAAGCCTATTCCAGAATTTCTGCTCTTATGTTGATACTCAATTTTCAGCTAAGGTCAAAATAGTAAGATCTGATAATGGGACTGAATTTTCCATGGATTCCTTCTTTAATGAGAAAGGAATAGTACACCAAAAATCATGTGTGTATACACCACAGCAAAATGGCACTGCAGAAAGAAAACACCAACACATTTTGAATGTTGCAAGAGCCCTCAAGTTTCAGTCAGGTGTTCCCTTAGTTTTTTGGGGACATTGTGTTCTTCATGCATCTTACCTGATTAACAGATTTCCCACACAAGTGAATGAAGGAAAAACTCCCTATGAACTTCTATATAATAAAGCTGTGGATTACAGTCTTTTAAGGAGTTTTGGCTGCTTGTGTTTTGGTAGCACCATTCCCCAAGGAAGGCATAAGATGATGCCAAGGGCAAGGAAATGTATATTTCTGGGATTTCCAGCTAATGTAAAAGGCTATGTTCTATATGATATTGCTAACAAAAGTACATTCATTTCCAGGGATGTTGTTTTTTATGAGAAAGTATATCCTTTCAAGGATGGGACATCAGACAGCCTCCATAATCAAGGGATAGATCTAGTCTTACCATTGATCCCTGTTGATGCAGATGTTGATATACATAGCCCCCATCTCACATCTACAACAGATGTGGAGGAAGATTTCATGGATGCAGAAGAGCTACAACATACTGGATCCAGAACTAGTCATGAGCCATCCAATGCAGACAGGCCCACAATAGATTCAGTTGATGATTTTGGGGATGAAATAGATGTATATCCTCAAAGGGAAATCCTTAATCAGCCTGAGCCTAGTAGATCAGAAAGAGTAAGGAGCATCCCCACAAGGCTTCAGGACTACTACTGTCAGTCTCTGACCCAAACTAGCTCACAAAAGAGAACCTCTCCACACACTCTAAACAATGTCATCTCATTTGATGACTTACCTCTAAGCCACAGATTATGTGCATCATCCATCCTAAATGCCCATGAACCACATTCTTACAATGAAGCTGTTAAAGATGAGTCATGGAAGAAAGCTATGCAGACTGAGATAGAGGCCTTAGTTGCCAATAAAACCTGGATATTGACAGATTTACCTGCTGGAAAAATTCCCATTGGATGCAAGTGGGTTTTTAAGATAAAGCATAAAGCAGATGGTTCAATAGAAAGGTATAAAGCCAGACTTGTGGCCAAGGGATACACTCAACAAATGGGGATATACTACACTGAGACTTTCTCGCCTGTTGCAAGAATGACCACAATTAGATCCTTCCTAGCTGTAGCCATTGCAAGAGGATGGGATGTTCAACAATTGGATATAAACAATGCTTTTCTTCATGGTGATCTAGATGAAGAAGTATATATGGTGTTGCCTCCTGGTTTTCACAGTGACAAACCAAGGCAAGTATGCAAGCTGCTAAGGTCATTATATGGGTTGAAGCAGGCCAGTAGACAGTGGAATGCAAAGTTGACTAAGGCTTTGGTTGACAATGGTTATTCTCAGCCCACTTCTGACCCTTCATTATTCACAAAATCCTCAGGTAGATCTTACACTACTCTCCTCATTTATGTTGATGACATTTTGGTAGTTGGGAATGACCCTTCTCAGATCAATGCTCTAAAACGATTCTTGGATACATCCTTCAAAATCAAGGACCTTGGCTGCCTGAACTATTTCTTGGGCATTGAGGCTTGCAGAACTGCTAATGGAGTCAGTTTGTTTCAAATGAAGTATACTCTGGACATTTTAAGGGAGAATGGGTTCCTGGATGCTAAACCAGCAAGGAGTCCAGCCACCACAGGAGTTAAGCTCACTAGCACAGAGGGTGATCCTCTTGATAGCCCTGAGATTTACAGAAGGTTGATTGGTAAACTTCTGTATTTAACTAATACCAGGCCAGACATTTCCCATTCTGTTCAGCAACTCAGTCAATTTGTTGATAAGCCTACTTCCACTCACCTCACTGCTGCACACAGGGTACTTAGATATCTAAAGGGATCACCAGGAAAGGGCTTATACTATCAGAAAGAATCCAAGCTAAGACTGCTAGGCTTCTCAGACTCTGATTGGGCAAATTGTCCAGAGTCTAGGAAATCCATCACTGGCTATTGTATTTACCTTGGCAGCAACCTAATCTCATGGAAGACTAAAAAGCAGGCCACTGTCTCAAGGTCCTCTTCAGAGGCTGAATATAGAGCCTTGGCATCAACAGTTTGTGAGATTCAATGGCTCCACTATCTCCTGGCAAACTTGCAGGTTACTTTTGATGTTCCCACAGCTTTGTTTTGTGACAATCATTCAGCAGTGGCTATTGGGGAAAATCATGTCTTTCATGAACGAACAAAGCACATAGAGATCGATTGTCATATTGTTAAACAAAAGGTTAATGAGGGGTTGATCAAACTGCTACCTATTCCCTCTCACAAGCAACTAGCTGATGGTTTTACAAAGACTCTGCCAGCTCCAGTTTTTCATGCTTTTCAACTTAAGCTTGGTCTTCGTGATGTCCACACTCCAAGCTTACGGGGGGGTGATGGAGAATGTCAAATACACTAGGCCGAAGATGGAACAAGGCTGAGCTGAGGAAGGATTAACAGAAATAACTGCCAAGGGTTTTTTTGTCTTTTCGCTCCTTTTCATTCTGTTATAACTGCCTCCTCCTTCTCTTATAAAAGGAGTGATGCTTCTTCTCTTTTCGGGTGTAACATAAACATATATTCACAGCTCATCTTCTCCTTTCTATGAACTCAATGCTTAACCACACACTTCTCAACCCTATCTCCTGATTTCGACAATCGCGTTATTGAAGATGGTCCCTGGTCCTATGAGAAAAATCTGTTGATTCTAAAATGTATAAGTGCGGATGAAGATCCTGAGTTGGTTCCCCTTGATAGTGATGATTTCTGGATCCAAGTTCATGGACTACCGAATGGACTCCGTTCTGAGGCAGTGCTTCAAGCTATTGGTGGTTTCATCGGTAGTGTCACTAAAATAGCTGAACGTAACTTCGATGGGGCACTGCGAGTGTTTTTCCGAGTTAGAGTTGCGATTGATGTTCTGAAACCCCTTAAAAAGGATATGAAGCTGAGGAAAGATAATGGTGAATGGGTGCATGTTGAGTTTCGGTATGAACGACTACCGACCTTCTGTTTTATCTACGGATTGATTGGCCATGGCGATAGATTCTGCCACAAGTTGGCGCAGGGATGGGATAAGAATGCTGTCAAACCTTTCTGTCCAAAACTTCGTGCCGGCGGACGTCGGAACACACCCATTGTCGCCTTGTCGGAATGAAATGGATTGCACTGGAAACGGTAGCAGGGCGTAGCACGTGGGTAGCACCGGGAAGGAAAGTGGAGAATGATATGAAAGGAAAGAATCCCCATATTCCTCCAGCTGATTCTCCTACCATACGGGTTAATGCAAATTTCGTGGAGACCTCAAGTGGTAAGACTTCAGCTAATATGGTAATTCAAGATACGGATAATTGCATTGTTGCTTGTATGGTCACGAGTGACGTTGATGATGGAATTACCATATTGGACCGGAAACGACGGCGTACGAGTGATTCAGGGGATCAAAGTTCAGGTTTGACTTCTCATTCCATGGAAATTGAATCTATTGGGTCAAAAAACTTGCTTTTCGCAGGAACTGGTGTGGCCCAATCCCGCCCAACCCAATGAGTTCCCTATTTTGGAACTGTCGTGGGCTTGGCAACCCACGCACAGTTCGTGAAATCATGGCCTTAGAATCAAAGGTCAAGGCTATGTTCAATTTGTTAATGGAAGCTAAAGTTAGACAGGAACATGCTGAACGTCTAAGAATGAAGTTATGTTTTGAGGGTTTATTTTTTGTGGATGGTGGTGGAGTTGGAGGAGGTTTGGAGCTCATATGGAGGGATAATGGTGTTGCTAGTCTGATAAGCTACTAGAAGAACCATATTGATGTCCAGGTAAGGCTACCTGGCAGCGTCCCCTAGAGATTGACATGTTTCTACGGGTTCTCGGAGAGGAGCCGCAGACAACAATCCTGGGATCTTCTTCGGCCTCTTAAATCAAAATATGACCTTCCTTGGCTAGTAGCTGGGGATTTGATGCAGGACAAGGGAAACCAAAAGGACAGGAAGAACATAAACAATATAACTCAGACTCAAAGACTTTCAATAATATTCAAACTTGAACATTTCAATACAAAAGTTTGTTTAAATAGACAATTAAGAAAACTGAAGAGTTGCAAATATTTAAAACATGCATGCGAACTATAAAATAAACATAATGAGAATAATAACATTTAAAGCTAATTCAAATTTTCCATAAAAAGTGGCCACCAAACTCCCTGTCTCTTAGACATCATGCATGTGGCAATTTCTCTATTATTTCCTCAATTCCTGTTCCGCATCATTCTCTCTTGGTTGCAAAAGACTCGTACCGAGTCGTCAAAATATAGGAGTAATATGAAAATATAGCAGAGTACCTTCAAATTTCTTTTTTCACTATGAAAAAACATAACTAATTGTTTTTTTCGTACCTTAAAATAACCATATCTCTTAGGATTCAATACGTGAGATATTCTTGCAGGCGCACACTTCTTTCTTAAAAAGAGCATAACCTCCCTGCTAATTGTAAAAACTTGTTTGCAATGAAATGCCCGGGTCCTATGTTTTCCGCCAGTAGATGTTAACTTGTCTTTGATTTCTCTTTGTATCATGACATTTTCTGAAGCTTCAATCTTCAAATCTCTAGAATTTTCTTGATGCCAATAACCATTAGCAGACATGAGTTGTTTTGGGTACACAGTAGCACCAATGACCTCCCACCTTACAATGTCTTCATTGTTGGAAAAATAGCATTAAAATGACATTTTGAGTGATTATTTTGTGGTACAAATATATGTGGGATCCACTTCCGATTTGGGTCGGGTCAATGTGGATTCGGGTTCTTCATAGTGAGACGAAGAATTTGATATAATGTACGCTCAAAATGGGTAATAGGTGAATGAGAAATTGATTCTCAAAGTGAACCTATTTGAGAGAAGTCAAAATTTAAGCTTAATGATTAGCATTAGATTCGTGCTATTTATGTTTCGTTGTAGCACTTTCCTGTTATGCCAATCAGGCATGCTAGTATTTAAATTGTTAAACCACTATGCATGTGCTGGCAGCACATCTCGTGCAGCTTAAATTTGATAAGCTTGAGAAAGCTTAAATTGGGAATTAAAGCACAAATTTGTGCTTATGAGCACTGATTTGTGTTTGGAGATTTGGGCTCCTTTCATGTGAGCTCCTTTCGTGCAGCACGAGTTTGTGCTTTTATGCATTGATTCGTGCTGCACCATTTCGGTGCTTGCGGACTACTCGGGTGTGGTTTTCGGTCCCAATGTGTTCAACCTTCGGGTTTGTACGGACTTCTCGGTTACTAAGATATTTTGAAACGAGTCGTTATGGTCGGTACGAACTAATCAGATATTAAGTTCGTGACCGTTAATATTATTTTGATAATAAGTACGACCGTTCAAACGTTATAATTAAATTATTAAATTGAATTTATGTTGGTTAATGTGTCATGATGATGCTATTTAGTACCAATCTCCTATATAAACATGTTGTGGGAGAAACCTTTTGAATAAAAGTGATAGTGAGAAAGTGAGAAACAACACAAGAACACACACAAAGAAATTCTACTTTTCTTCTCAAAACTTTGCTCCTACTCCATTCTTGAAGCTGGGTTTTGCCCGTGCTCTTGTTCGCCGAGTTCGTTCATTTGGGTGCTCAAAATTCGAACCGTTGTACGTTTTATCCTGGGAAGCCTAGGCCACAACGCTCCTAGCACTCTTGGGAGGTGGCAAATAAGGTTTTAAAGAAAAAGGCACTTCGCCGAACTCGTACTAATCTTTCTTCCTCTCCTTCTTTCTTGTTTTGGATTATGCTCTAAGCAAAAATCCTTTCTTCTTTCTTGTTGGATTGGAGTTATAATCTGAAGATTATATGTGCCGTTTTGGTTGATATATATTGGTATATATATATATATATATATATATATATATATATATATATATATATATATATATATATATATATATATATATATATATTCGTGTGTATATATAAATATTATTTTTTGGGATATTAAATCGATTTTTGGTTCATTATCACAAACAATGTTAAAACCTTATTTTATTTTGATAATGAACAAGTCGATGGATTCCAAAAGTGTTGGATCCGTGAATGTTGTTCGTGGTGCACATTCTAATGGTAGGAACGGCAACGATGTTGCACATTCTGAGATGCCAGTTGATGGCAGCAATGTTGGAAATAATGTTTCCATGGGAATTGCTAAATCACACGATAGTGCTCCGGAGAACTTTGGTTCACGATCCGGTAGACCAGTGGCTAATGGCACACAAGTTGTACCTATTGTGATGCCTAATGGATCGGCTAAAAGCCACGAAGGATCCAGTGTTTATGTGACCACTACATGGTCTGAGGATTATTGTAGTGTGACCAATGATTTCAACCGTAATCAAAGGAAAGGCAAGCGGAAGCTTAGCTTTCAAGAAGATTATGAGAAGAAGGAGAAATGCCACTACGAAGCGAACCGTCATCCTGGTGAGAAGGTTGAGGACAACTTCGCTATGTTTAAAACATGTGGATGGTTGGACGAGTGAGGTCACAACCGAGGTACCCCCGATGTGCGCTATGGACCACCCTTCGTGGAGTGGACGATTGAAAAATGGAACAAGGCACACGGGTTGAAGGATTACTACGAGATAGGAATAAGGAAATGTGTTTCCAATGTAATTTTCCTATTTATTTATTTTGAATAAATGTTGTAGTATCCTTGTGATACATTTTATTATTGAATAAAATGAATTGTTCCATTTGTGTGTATTGAACTTCGTATATTTTAAAATATTCTTGTGTGATATTTTTAATGTATAAAAGATTCAATATGGATGCCTAGTGCATCAAGTAGCATTGTGTGAAAAAAATGCTAGAATGGCTTAACGGCCAAAACGGAATGTAACAAGCGTGTTACATGTTTGAAATCTCGTAAAAGGACTTCGGTCCTGGTTCATGTAGAACGATAAGGATTTCAAGGATCAATTTGTCAAAAAATTGGGATAGCTATATAATCGTGAGCGTCACAGTTCAATCGTTGAATATTTTAAATAATATTATGAGTACGATTATATAAGCTTGATTCAACTAGTCGGAAATTTGATTGATTTGATATGGTTAATTGTGTTAAAATTAACTTGATCAAAATCTGAATTATACTAGTATGAAATATAATTTGAGACAAATAATGATTTGTTGGATAGTGCTTTTGGAGCAATAACAGAAAATTCGAAAGGTTCAATTAGCCTGTAGTGCTAATGATAGCACTTATTGCTAAGCTTGGTAATTAATCATGTAACACCCCCGATTTCCATACGAATTTAAACCTTAATCATGCAGATAAACTAACCATAAAAACATACACAGCGGAAGACTAAATATGAAATATATGGAAAATGTAGAGTGCTATGCCACGCCCACCCAACGGTGAACGCACAGGCGTAAACATCTGCAACATAATCTATATATCCAAAGACAAAGTCAACAACATTAAGTCTATAGTCTAATAAAGGCACGCAAGCCCAAACCATCACAAGGTCCAAGGGATCTATACTAACTGTCTCTAGACCGCGCTCTCGTATACTCAGCACCTGAAAGAAACACATAATATATGTGATGACGCCCGGTCAGCGAATGATCCTGGTAACCCACCAATACATGTGAAATATCATACATAGATAGGATATATGTACAAAGTCATTTGCGAAACGGGATATGATATATAAATTCAAATCCAAGAGTAGAAGTCAAACACAAGACTCTATGCACTCACAACAAAGACAAGGGAACACATCCCAAGACCACAAGAAGTACAACGACACACAAGAACGGCTCAAGGCGTAATCTACCATCACTTAGTAGACTATCACCCGACATGCACAACACAAGATAACAAGAGACACACATTGGCAACACATGCCTTCGCGACGTCACTCGTCACGGATTAGGAATTACACAACAATGGCAACACATGCCTTCGTGACATCACCCATCACGAATTGAGATGCCTTCCTTATGCCCGGTTCCAACCTTATGGCTACCCCCAACCTTATGTCTAGTTCCAACCATTACCTCCAGGACCCCTGTACAACCAAGTCCAACCTTTTCCCTCCTGGGACCGTCATCCCCCACCAACGACCACTAACAAGACCACTGATTCATAGTACACGAGGGTACCGATCACACACATGGCAACACATGCCTCCCAAGAAATACGTGAACCCATCACTCAGGTCACAAACTCCATAATCGCGTCATGGCCACCACGAGGACCACTACCGTACCTTGGTGACTAATGTCCCTTACCATTAATCGTGCAATCTAGGTACAGCCGCACACGCGACACCATCACAGGAATCAATCAACGGATCACAACGAAGATATGACACCATACTCAATCAAGGAATGGATCACAATCCAACAACAATGATGATTAACACAAGTCATCATCAACATTAGGAAAGGACAAACAACACACACGCTAGCATTTAAACACCGAACTAGCATGCTTATCAAACGGGTAAACCAAACATAGTTCCGAAGAACACACAAGACTCACCATGGTCCAACGAATCACAATGTTGAACACTTAGCACGATTCAAGACACCAAAACTTACATGGAATCCTACAATATAGTTCTAGACATATGAAACATCAAGAAGACACTCAAATAGTTCCAGAAAAAAAGAACATCGGGAAGTCAAAAGACCAAATACCGAGTCAAAAGAATCACGGGGAACAAATCCCCGCCAAGCCAACATATGTACCCCGCAGGTGGGCCCACGGGTAGACCCCCACCCGTGGTTCCGCCCGCGGGAACACACCTCTTCAACCCGCATTCCCCGCGGGTGGGGCGGCGGGTAGGCCACTGCCCGCCGTTCCGCCCGCGGGTACCATGTACTGTACAAAAATATCCCTTCAGGGATTTTCAACACCAAGCTCAAATTCAAGTCCAAAACATGCCAAATCTCACCAAATACAACCAAATGACTTGAGTCAAAGGAATAGCCAAGCAATGGCATACATGAACCCTAATAAAAAGCTCTAGATATGCATTTTTACAAGACAATGCATCAACACTTACATTTCATAGCAAAAGCACATATAGAATCCAAAAAATCATCATATAGGTAGACAAAATAGATTTTGTAGAGCATGGGTTACCTCTTGAAGACTTAACCTTCACTCAAATCACTCCACAAGCTCCTAACAAGGTTCCCTTTCCACACCCACTTCAAGAAGACACTAAAAGATCATAAAGATTTCACCTTTAGAAAAAGATACCTTAGAAAACGCTAAAAACACAAAAGGAGCATAGATCTTACCCTCCTAGATGCTCAAGAGTAGGAAAGATGGAATCTTGGAGACAAACTTGGAAGATCTTGGTAGCCTTAGATTTAGCTTGGAGAGAAAGCTAACTAGCTTTTTAGAGAGAAGGAAGAGCTTATGATTTTGGAGAGTGTTTGGGAAGAAATGAAATGTGTCTCTTAGGTTAGCTTGGAATACCATTACAAGGAAAATGTCTTCTTTACCCTTACTAAGATGAAAAGTGCAAGGGGACAATGGAACTATTTACAAAGCTTTAGGTACAACAATTGACTATGGGTTGACTAGTCAATTACTAGTCCCCGACTATTGAATTTTCAGGAATTTAAGAAATTAAATTACCAATTGAATTAGGATTAATTACTTAATTAATCCCTTATTTGTATTTGGATTACGGGATGTCACATCCTCTCCCCCTTCAAAGAAGCTTCGTCCCCGAAGCTTGGGCACAACGAATTAAAACAAACGGTGAAATAGAACGACAATGTGACAAGAGTGTCAAGAACGTCCTCTTTTGCTCAAAACTCAAAGGGTTCAAAGGATATCAGAAACAAACAAGAATTCATAGCATTGCAGGGGTTGAAAGAAATAGCCAACGGATATAATGAGCATATCAAACTCTAAACCAAACACAACCACCAACTTATAGCCAACACCCAAAATCTGAACAACTAGCTCAAAGCACAAGCCACAAAACTAACTACCCAACTCAACAAGCAAGCAAAAACGAACACATAAGGTAAACAACAAGCAACTAACGAGCGGTAGAAACAACTAGAAAGATAACAACAAGCTAAAGAAAGGTGAACGAGATAACCACGACACCACGCTAAAACGATTCGCTCTCAGATTCATCGGTGCTTTCCTCAGACTCCTTGTCATCACCTCCTCTTCGACTTGAGCTGGCCTCAATCTGATCTAACCTCTGGTGGACGACAACAAACTGCGACTTCATAAAAGCGAATCCTTCTTCAATCATCCGGTTCTGTTGACATAGCAAGGTGACCACACGTTCCTCGTGTGTCAAAGAGTCGTGCTCCCTTTTGGTTCAGACTTCTCTTCTCCTTTGGTTTTCTTCACTCTCCGAATCACTTTCCTCGGCCTCGGCAACTTCTTGTGCTTCCACTTCCTCTTCATGGCCTGCTTCCACAACGTCCTCTACATCACATCCCAAGCTCAGGACCGCAAGGTTCAACTTTCCAGCAGGAATCTCGAGCTCAATCGCCAACTCTACTCTTTCCTCGGGGGTCTTTCTAGCAACCTCTTCAAGAGTGATATAATCACCGTCGACTAACTGAAATAAGTTGCAACTTCGCAGATTGATGGTATCCAACACCATCTTTCTTACGGGCTTTGGTATACAACCATCGACGCTTACACCCTTCTTGACAAGAATCCAGCTCAGCACCATACCATACGGTAGACTCTTTCAGTTGTGATCACGGCAGAAGACCATATGTTGCAACATCATAGCCAGCAGATTGAACTTTACCATGTTCTTGAGACAAAAAGCAAAGGTGCATTCCAATTTTCCCAACAGCTAACTTTTGTTGTTATTGGGCAACAAACAATCAGACACAACCATAACCAAAATCCTTTGCTCGGCAGACAACCACTTCTTCTCCGGCCTTGAAGCTTGAGTGAAGCCACTCGTGCGACCCAACAAATAACTCAAATAGTCCCGGTACCCCGTGGTATCCGTACTAATCCACGAGTTACCACTGTACTGAGCAACTCCCGAAGCAGATAAACTCAGAAGCTGAGCTAGCCTCTTTTCAGACAAAACCACTTTCACACCCCTCACTTTAGAGGTGATTTCAAGCTTACCACCATCCTTTGTCACAACCATGTGACAGTAAAATTCCTTAACCAAACTTGGGTATGTCTCCGCCCTTATGGCGAGGAACCCATCTAACAACCCTTGGTATGTAAGCATATCCAACAAAGAACTAGAGAAAGATTCTGGGTCGAAAGCTTTACCTTCAAGAACGAGATAATGGGTATCCACACATTCTACCTTCCTTGCCAAACTTGATCTCCTATGCATGATTGAGAGATGACCCAAAGCTCAACAAAAAGGAACCCAAAGCTTTCCCTTCTTCTCTTTTTTTTTTGCTGCTCTCTCTCTCTCTCGCGACGGCCAGGCGACGGAGACTCCGGCAACCGACGGTAGTGGCGGCTTGGTTTTCGACGGCGACAGGAACCGGCGGGTGGCAGGTGGTGGCTATGGGTTGAGGGAGGGGGGGGGGGTGGTCTCGGCTGACTCACGGGTAGGGAGAGGGGAAGGAAAGAAAATTGGGATTTTAGGGATTTTGGGAGAAATTGGGAAAAGAAGATGATTTAATTTGGGAATTTGTGTAAAGTGGGAATTTATGGTTTAGATGGAATTAAAATTGGATAGGTTTTAAGAAATATAATTAGCTTAAGTGGTTAAAGGGTTTGGTTGGCAAATGATACACCCAAGTTTGAAACTCAAGATTTGCAAATAAAAGTCTACTTGTCTTTTAGGCTTCTCAATAAAGGATTTTATGGATTTTTCTATTCCAAATTCAAAGAATGCTTGGAGAAATTTAGGTGACTCACAAGAAGTAAAGGATGCAAATTATACATGTGCAAAGATGATGGAATTAGCTCAAGCATGACTCATATTAGGGGTAATCAACTACCTCTATGAAAGGTTTACACTTACAAGGATAACAAGACAACTCAAACAGACAACTAAGGAACAAGACAACACACGAAGGCAACAAAGGACAAGATGCGTTCTAAAGACAAGGGTAGGCTAGAAAAAGATTACCTGCTAGCTCCTCCTCCACTAAGCCCTCGGTCTCCGCCTGCGATCGCCCCATCACGAAAACTGTTCCTGATGGCCTGGCCCCGGCTGCTCCACGGCTCAAGCTACCTCCTGCTGCTCCTCCGGATCCTGGGGGTGGTGGCAACGCCCTTAGGTTAGCTTGCTGAGGGCACTCGGCGATCTTGTGACCCCTCTCTCGGCAACGAAAACATCGGAACGCTTGACCATGACAATCCTGACCCGCATGCACCTTCCCGCATCTGCGGCACACAAACGTTTTGACTTGATTTCCGTGCTCCACTCGATTTGATCCTTGGGTTGGAGATGATGCAGTCTTAGCTAGGAATCTTGGTCGCGGCTTCTTGTTGTTGGAAGAGTCTCCACTCTCGGTCCTCTTTCTTGCAAGCTCGAAGGACCCTCGCTGAAGCTGCTGAACACGATACAAATCCGCGGCACTCACATATGCATCCTTCAGAGAGCTCGGCCTACTCACGGTTAAGGCCTTTCATGCCTCGTAGTTCAAGCCAGCTACGAACTTCTCAACTTTGGCAAGCTCGGTAGGAACAAGCATCCGGGCGAAGCGTGCAAGCTCTAGAAACATCTTGTGGTACTCAACCACCGATGAAGATCCTTGCTGAAGGTGAATGAACTCCTCATACATCGCGGCTCGCACATGCGCCGGATAGAACCTCTCACGCATCCGATCCTTCAGGGCAGACCAATAGAAGTTAGGCTCCTCGAGGCAGGCTGGGCTCTCGTGCACCCACCATAAATCTGCCTCATGACTGAAGTAGAACGTCGCAAGCTCTACTCTCCTCTCCTCTGGGCACCCAACAACCGAAAAGATCTTATCAAACGTTCTCACCCGCTTTTCCAGGACAACGGGGTCTTCCTCACCGCGAATGTCGGAGGTCTATGGCCCGACACGAGACGCCCTATGTCCCTATGCCCGGCAGGCTGAGGAGGTGGCACGGGATGATTGTTGTTCAGCAACGCCTCACTAAGAGTCAGCATAGTCTGCGTCAACTGTTGTAGATTCTGGGCAAGCTGCTCATTCGTAGGGGTCTCCGGAGTAAGCGCGCGCTGACGGGGAGGCATCGCAAAGCTTCTACAACAACAACACGGTTACCAACAAAAGAACAAGCAAGCAAACAACTATAAACAACGCTCAGCTCATCGCGCATCCTAAGAATCCTAAGCCTAAACACTTAGATTCTTACGGTCACCTTAAGGTCTCAAACCACACTTAGCCACTTAGAAGACTAGACTCTATCATCCTAGGCTCAAACCTAGGCTCTGATACCAACTGTAACACCCCCGATTTCCATACTAATTTAAACCTTAATCATGCAGATAAACTAACCATAAAAACATACACAGCGGAAGACTAAATATGAAATATATGGAAAACGTAGAGTGCTATGCCATGCCCACCCAACGGTGAACGCACAGGCGTAAACATCTGCAACATAATCAATCTATCCAAAGACAAAGTCAACAACATTAAGTCTAGAGTCAAATAAAGGCACGCAGGCCCAAACCGGCTCAAGGCGTAATCTACCATCACTTAGTAGACTATCACCCGACATGCACAACACAAGATAACAAGAGACACACATTGGTAACACATGCCTTCGCGACATCACTCGTCACGAATTAGGAAGTACACACCAATGGCAAAACATGCCTTCGTGACATCACCCATCACGAATTGAGATGCCTTCCTTATCCCCGGTTCCAACCTTATGGTAACCCCAACCTTATGTCTAGTTCCAACCATTACCTCCAGGACCCCTGTACAACCAAGTCCAACCTTTTCCCTCCTGGGACCTTCGACCCCACTAACGACCACCAACAAGACCACCGATTCATAGTACACGAGGGTACCGATCACACACATGCCAACACATGCCTCCCAAGAAATACGTGAACCCATCACTCAGGTCACAAACTCCATAATCGCGTCATGGCCACCACGAGGACCACTGCCGTACCTTGGTGACTAATGCCCCATACCATTAATCGTGCAATCCAGGTACAACCACACACGCCACACCATCACATGAATCAATCAACGGATCACAACGAAGATATGAAACCATACTCAATCAAGGAATGGATCACAATCCAACAACAGCGATGATTAACACAAGTCATCATCAACATTAGGAAAGGACAAACAACACACACGCTAACATTTAAACACCGAACTAGCATGCTTATCAAACGGGTAAACAAAACATAGTTCTGAAGAACACACAAGACTCACCATGGTCCAACGAATCACAATGTTGAACACTTAGCACGATTCAAGACACCAAAACCTACATGGAATCCTACAATATAGTTCTAGACATACGAAACATCAAGAAGACACTCAAATAGTTCCACAAAAGAACATCGGGAAGTCAAAAGACCAAATACCGAGTCAAAAGAATCACGGGGAACAAATCCCCGCCAAGCCAACATATGTACCCCGCGGGTGGGACCACGAGTAGACCCCCACCCGTGGTTCCGCCCGCGTGAACACACCTCTTCAACCCGCATTCCCCGCGGGTGGTGTGGAGGGTAAGCCACTGCCCGCCGTTCCGCCCGCGGGTACCATGTACTGTACAAAAATATCCCTTCGGGGATTTTCAACACCAAGCTCAAATTCAAGTCCAAAACATGCCAAATCTCACCAAATACAACAAAATGACTTGAGTCAAAGGAATAGCCAAGCAATGGCATACATGAACCCTAATAACAAGCTCTAGATATGCATTTTTACAAGACAATGCATCAACACTCACATTTCATAGCAAAACCACATATAGAATCCAATAAATCATCATATAGGTAGACAAAATAGATATTGTAGAGCCTGGGTTACCTCTTGAAGACTTAACCTTCACTCAAAACACTCCACAAGCTCCTAACAAGGTTCCCTTTCCACACCCACTTCAAGAACACACCAAAAGATCATAAAGATTTCACCTTTAGAAAAAGATACCTTAGAAAACACTAAAAACACAAAAGGAGCATAGATCTTACCCTCCTAGATGCTCAAGAGTAGGAAAGATGGAATCTTGGAGATAAACTTGGAAGATCTTGGTAGCCCTAGATTTAGCTTGGAGAGAAAGCTAACTAGCTTTTTAGAGAGGAGGAAGAGCTTATGATTTTGGAGAGTGTTTGGGAAGAAATGAAATGTGTCTCTTAGGTGAAGGAAAATGTCTTCTTTACCCTTACTAAGATGAAAAGTGTAAGGGGACAATGGAACTATTCACAAAGCTTTAGGTACAACAATTGACTATGGGTTGACTAGTCAATTACTAGTCCCCGACTATTGAATTTTCAAGAATTTAAGAAATTAAATTACCAATTGGATAAGGATTAATTACTTAATTAATCTCTTATTTTAAGTTGGATTACAGGTTGTCACAAATCAAGCACCAAATGGTGCTGATTAGGTAAAGCACTTTCGTGCTTTGAAAAATTAAAGCACTTTCGTGCTTTGTAGAATTAAAGCACTTTCGTGCTTTATGGTTTAGTGTAGCACTTCCGTGCTACTTTGCCAAGCATGGTTCGTGCTTCAATTTGTGAAGCACGAACTGTTGGTGCTTTCTGGCACCGAATCTTTAGCACGAGTTGGTACTTTTTCAAGCATCGGTTCGTGCTTTATTTCCGATACTTTGGTCAATCTGAATGGATTCGTAAGTGCTGATTTGTTCGCACCTACGGGATGTGCTAACGGGTAGCACATGTTTATTCCTTAAAAGAATTAAAAGAGAAAAACCAAATTAATCATGGATTAATGCGGTTACGAACGATCGATGTAGTGAATATGAAACACCTATTGGTGATTTCGGCACAAGCTTTAGTATCGTACTCGAGCGTACGGTATGGTATTCATCTCAATCGAACGTTGTTGCCGAACATGACTATCAAGACGTTGATAAGTTTGGGTCTACCTCAAAGTATGTGGGGTGAGACAATACTTTGGACAAGTAAGTACCTTTTAAGTAAGGTCACCCACATGAAATTCTTACGAATTGTGGGTACGTAGGAAGTTTTCCTACTAATGCCTGAAATGTGGGGATGTCTTGCCAAAGGTGTGTATTGGCTCTTAGTACACGAGTCCTATAGTTTGGATGTACATAAGAACACAACAAATTGAATCAAGAAATTCATCGTTCTTTAAAGATGTATTTTTGTGAAGGTTCAATAAAGGACCTAGCACGTTGAAAGAAACTTTCGACGTAGCTATGGTTGAAGGGTATGAAAGAGAACCCGAGCTCAAAGCTAAACGTAGCAAGAGAGCTAGGATTGAAAAATCCTTTTGGTCCAGACTTTCTGACATACATGCTAGAATGTGACGCGCATATTCTAACTTGTTTACTAGAAAATAATTTGGATCTTCTGATATGGTTGTTAGAAAACGAGCCTCGAACATATGTAGAAGTGGTGAATTCTACAGATCGACCAACACGAGAGAGGCTATCGAGAGTGAAGTAGATTCTATCTTAGAGAATCATACTTGGAACTGGTTGTTCTTCCTTAGGATTGTAAAACCTCTAGATCCTAAACGGATCATCAGTCAGAACATAAAACTGGTTGTTTATATTGAAGTAAAATGGTCGGGCTTGTAATTGTAGATTACACGCAATGCGAATGCCACGATTACTTCGATATGTATTTTCTGGTGATGAGAATGAAATCCATTAGTATGATACTTGCCATAGCCGTGTAACGAGACTTGGAAGTTCATCGAAATGGATGTATCGCTTTTTTAATAGACATGGAACAACCTGAGGGTTTTGTGGTTCCGCGCTGTGGAAAGAAAGTGTGTAATTGGTGAGATCATTGTATTGTTCGAAACAATTGCCTTAGTGTTTGGCATGTGAGTTTGATCATACAATGATGACTA